GGGTGCATCTGACCCGGTCTGAATGGTTCTGGGTGAGTTTAAAGACATTGGACAGACTTTGAGCGGTTCTACGTTCTGGAGAAGTTTCTCGTCATGTTTCTAGGACACGGTGTCGTGATGTTCTGCTGACCTGAACCCGGCTGACAGTGACCCGGTCATCCTGATCAGTGACTCGTTATTTGTGCTTCGTTAAAACTGATTGTGTTAAATCGACTCAGAACCTCAAACCAGTTAGAAGAGGTTCTGCCCTCTACGCTCCTGGTTTGAACGGTTCTTCTTCATGTCACTGGACTGAAACACGGTTCTGTCCCGGCAGCCTCAGTTCACAAACGGATCAGCTGATCAGAGCAGCTCTACCTGACGATGCACTTCCAGGTGGACCCGTCCAGGTCGTCCTGCTCCTCCGTGTACAGCCGGATGTTCTGCTCCTGGTCCAGCTGCAGCCAGTACATCAGGCCCTGCCGGTCCCGACCGATGGGCTGCAGACGCATCTTCTCCGGGTCCTCGTCGTTCACCACCATCTTGAACTTCAGGTTGTCGTCAAACTGACACTCGCAGAGATACTGAAGGAGAGAGGTTCTGGTCAGTCGCCACAGAACCACAGTGCATTCTGGGTAAACGTTCTAGGCTCATGTCAGCGTGTGTGATGGTGGTTGGTCAGAACCAGTTCTAGACAATGGAAGGACCGTTTATCTCCAGAACCTACCAGAACCATCTGGAGACAGGATTCACTAAAATCATCTAAAACCAGGTCCAGTGTTCAGACTGAGACACCTGGATGGGTGTAGAACTGATCTGGTGTCAGGTTCCAGCAGAACCCAGATGTGTTCTTCCTCCTAAATGTCATGTGTCTATCTGCTGTACTGATGAAGTTCTGAGGCTCAGGGTTCGGGTTCATGATCAATCTGGACCCTCCTCTGTGGACCTCTGGAACATTCACCGTCTGAAGGTAGAACTCTGGTCAGCAGATAAAGGTTCTGCAGATACAGAACCAGATGTTCTGAGGAGGTTCTGGAGGTCTGTTCAGATGTGTTTGGTGTCATGTGGACTGACCCGTACCAGACTGGACCGTACCTTCAGGATGCTGGACTTGCACTCCATGGACATCTCCTGGTAGCCCTTCTGCTCCAGCTCCCAGGCCCAGGTACTGTTCAGCTCCTGACACACCTGCAGCAGAACCGTCACACTCAGCTTTTCTCTACAAACGGCTCTACGGCTGAAACGGGTCGGAACCGGCGGCGCTCACCTTGGCCAGGTATTTCTCCCAGCGGTCGGTGGTCACGGACCTCCCCAGCTTCCTGAGCAGCTTGACGTGGAGCTCCACCAGAGGCTTAGGAACTGAAACACACAGCAGCATCAGAACCAGAACCAGAACCACTTCTACCACAGCTGATGTCTCTAAAGACCCTCCATCCTTCTTGTTGACAGGACTCACTGTTCTGGTCCGGTACCAGCCTGCTGTAAAGGCACTAATGCTTCCTGTCAGAACTCAGTGGTTCTGAATGGTTCTGTGTGATTCTGGTCGTTTTCAGTCTGTGAGGGTTCTGGATCTGAACTGCTATTACGACTGACTCATCTGGTTCCGATCTCATCGTTGTGTGTGTTCGTTTGGTTGTTTTGTGGGTTTTGTGTGGAACTTTGCTAGCGAACTGGACCGGAACCGAACCAACGGTGCTGTTCGTTCATTAACCCGCTGACACTGACACATGCCGCTCCGAACCTTGTGGTTGTGAAGAACCTTAAAGTTCGGTTCCGTTCGGGCTCTGAGCAGCACTTTAACCCAAACTTAACGGAACCTTCAAGCTAACTGTTAGCCAGCGGCTAATGCCTACTGCGCCTGCGCACATCTGACAGCCAAAAAACAGCCTCCAGTGGAGCTAACATGGTTCAGTTCGGAACCAGGGACCGAACCGGTGATGGAGACCCGGACGGAGAGCCCAGAGCCCGGCCCCGCTGCGGCCCGGTGGCCTCAGGCCGCCGAGCAGCACCGCTGGTCGGCTCCGGTTAGCGGCTCGGCTCGGCTCTGCTGCATCATGGCTCCGTCCAGTTTACCGGACCAGCACCAGCCTGACAGCAGAACCGACGAGCCTCCTCTTGGTACCGGCCGAACCCGGCGGGAGGCCGAACCCTCCGGGCCCCGAACCGTACCCCGCAGTCCGGTCCGGACCGAGCTAATCCCGATTAGCTTCGCGGTAGCTGCCCGAATGTTCCTGCACTAACTGGGACGGAACCCGGCCGTGTTCAGGGGGATCTGACCCCGACCCGGGCCGCGATCTGCGTGGCGGCCAGCACCGGAGCTCCGGGTCCTGACACCGAGCTCCGGTGCTGCCCGCCGGGCCGCCCGGGCTGCTGGCCCCGTGATGGCGGAGCCTCGGCCCGCTTCTCCTCCGGTTTCAAGTGTCGCAGCTTCCAGCGTCGCACCGACACCAGCACCGAACCGAGCCTCACCTGTCGTCGTGTCCCGCAGATAGCGCTCCATCTGCGGGAACGTCATCTCGGGCAGGTCCAGCGCCGGTCCGTACCGCTCCAGGAACGAGCAGACCTCCGCGAAGCTCGGGCAGAGCGGCGGGCCGGAGCTCCTCAGCAGCACCGCCGGAGCAGCCATGTTTCCAGGCGGAGAGAGGCGGAGGGAGGGCCGCTGGATGCGACGGAGCCAAATGAATGGAGGCAGAGAGGCGGCAGCCGGCGTCAAGCTGGCCGGGAGAGGGCGGCCGAGTCCGGCTGCGCTTCTCAATAAAACCCGCAGGGAGCCCGACGGCTGGCTCCGGTACCGACGCGCCGGCTGTGGTGCAGAAACACAGCAGTGGTTAAAAAACAGGCAGAGGAGAAAGTAGAGAAGAGCGAAAAGGAGTAAAACGAGAAGAATTAAAATAATAATAATAATTTTAAAAAGTACAAAGTTCGCCAAAGAAAAGTAAAAGAAAAAAAAATGAAACAGAAAAGTGTAGAAAAGGAGAAACAGAGGAGTGATGTTTAAATAAACCTTTATGATATGATATATGTTATATATATTACATTATATCATATTATTTTATATTACATGTGATCTATATGTTATTATATGTTAGATGACATATTTTGTTTTACACATATTATTTGATTAAATGGGACTTTTGCATGAAGCTCTGCTCGTTTTGCTTCATTACGAACACAACCTGCTTCACCACAGTAACATAAAGTGAAGAACAATCCAACAGAACCATGAGTCCATTTAAACACTGTCTGAGAACAGCAGAACCAGAAACTTTAGATGTTAATATAAAATATAAAAACTATAAATGAAAACAGGACTGAAGCCCTCCTTCTGTTCGCTCTGATTATTGATCAGGGACGTGTTTAATACCTGTTTCAATGAGGAGAATAAATAAATTAGCTTTCACTGCCGTTCTGAGACCTTCTAAGCAAGTTAATGTAAACCTGAAACTATATTTGACCCCATTTAGAAACGTGGTTTCTCTTCCACAGCATGTGTTTGTGACTGACAAGCTTTTCTTTGTCAGTAACTCAGAGCAGTTTCATAACAACTAAATCACACATAAGCTGGTTCTGCTTCATCTCCGTCCAGAACAAACTGAAGTCAAGACACAGTGAGAAAACATAAATATACAAGAACTCCAGAACCAATGAAGAGACGGCTTTAAATGAAAAAGCAGGTTTTCAGTTTTAGGATTTCTACAATTTTGAGACACAACCAGGAAACAACGTCTGGACACAAGAACCGGTTCAGAACCGGTCAGAGGAGCTAAAAGATCAACAGCGTAAGTTGTTGGTGTAGTTTTTATATCGACTTAAACAAATGTGGATGAAACTGTCAGCCTGCTTATTCCGTTAAATTATTAACGATTTATTTTACATGTTCACCCTAAAAGCAAATCACAGACAGCCTGTTTCATTCCAGTTCGTTTTATTTTACAGTCAGCATGTAAATTCATCCTTTCTCTGTGTCTTCATAGTTACTTTCTGTAAGTTCACAAAACTGTAGCTCTTGTCATTAATATTTTAAAATCCTTAATATGCACAATTATCTTTCAAGTTAAAGCAAATATATGTTGAATAACTAATTTAAATAAAGTATATGTGTTATTTTATGGTGAAATGTTGTACAAGAACAAAATAATATTTGTAAAAATACAGTTATTTGATGTGGACCTAATTTACAGTTTGATCTGTTTTCTTATGGTGAACATAGAACTTTATTTTCTCTGTGGTTTTATAAGTTATTATCTGTGATTGAATAAAACAGGGAAAATCTGTAAAATAACAGTTCAATTATATATAGGGTTATATATATATATAT